TTTTGATTGGTTGATAGTATATTCTGAAAATGAAGTCGAATATCAAGATCTAGCCTTGTAAGGGTATAGGCGAAATTCCATTTAGAGAACTCAATTTTTACTCTGACATCTTGACCTCATTCAAAACCGGTTCTTCCTTGGCTCGTTCGGGCTCGGCCGGTACTTCTTTAGCCACTTCCTCTTTGCCATCAACCATCTCCGCATCTCCACCCTTGACTTCCCCATCAACTCTGCTGAGCACCGCCACCCCCTCCACATGCCCTGTCTGTGGGAAAAAGTCGAAACCCCTCAAGCTCTCAATCTCATATCTAACTCCCTCCTCGCTTCCATTAACCAATACCCCCACATCTCTCGCTTGTGTATGAACATTACAACTAACGTAAACCACCCTTCTCGGTCCAAACTTCAATAACTGACTTAAGAAACTCTCATCGCATCCTTTTCTTGGAGGATCAATGACTACCACCGTTTCATCTTTAGGATAAGTGACTTGTTTGAAGAGTTTTGGTGCATCCGCTGCCATAAAGCTACATCTTGATGCATCTAAATTATTGAGTTCAGCATTGCGACGAGCAGATATGATGGAAGCGTCTGAGATATCTATTCCGGTTGAGGATTTGAAGAGAGATGAGAGTGTAATGGTGAAGAGTCCGGAGCCGGAATACGCATCGATTAAGTATTGGATTTTTGGTAGGTCTGGGGAGTAGGATCCTGGAGGTGGTAAAGCATGGTCTCGAATGTATTGGGTGAAAACGGGAAGAATGGAATTGTTGTTTTGGAAGAAAGATCCCGCAATACTGGTAAAAAGGAATTTGTCAATGTATTCTGTCGATTCCCCTTTGTTATCCGTAATGCAAGTTTTCAGATCAGTATACTCGGGAGTTGTGACTTTAATGGTGTTAGGTGGTGTTTCCATATCTTCTTGGTATTCCGCATCGCCTTTGTAAATCCTCTTGGTACTCTCTCGTAATAAAATCGTAGCTCCTCGTTGGTATTTATGGAGTTCCTCTGCAACTCTTTTTCTCTCAAGCTTCATTCCCATTCTTACTGCGTCTGTTCCAATTGGACAATCCTCAATGTCCAATGTTGCCCTTTTCCCTTTCTGCATAAATCCAATTTCTGGAACCTTATCGAAAGCAGCTTTAGTATCACTCCTTCTATTTGACCTACTCCTATAACCTGGTGGTCCATCGAAATGTGGAGTAAGCTTTGTGCGATATTCATATTGTAATGGACTTCCAATGGTATCCAAGATAGCCGGTACTAGTTCCGATGGAAGTTGTGAGAAATTTTTGTATGCCTTCTCAACAATCGATTTCTTGTGTTTCAATTGCTCAGAATAATCTAACATCTGAAATTGACATCCGGAACATTTGCTGAAGTATTTGCAGTTTACTCGACTATCATCTCGGAGAGGAGATGGTTGAACCACGGAAACAAAGTCTGCTAAAGAGTAATTGTCTCTTGAAAAATGTGTAATGACTTTCGCCTTTACAATATCCCCTGGCACACTGAACGGCACAACATATATTCTGTTCGTAGGTGGGTGAAGCGCAAGTCCGTCTCCTGTGGATGATATCTCAACGACCTTGACTTCGATCTCCGTGAATCTCTCTGTTAATGCTGCTTCTAATTGAATGTCTGCCGTAACAGGCGCTGATTCAGCGGATGCTGATTCCTCTTGTTCTGCTCCATTTTCGACCTTCGCAGACTCGGGATTTCCATTTTCGATTGGGACCTGAGAAGCATTGGAGATTTTCTGCGCCTCAAACAATGCTCGCACATCTGCTATCAAAACTTCTTCAGATGATCCCTCTTTGACTGGCTTTGGTTTATAAGCCTTTTGTCTTTTAGGAGCTCGACCGCCTTGATGCTGCTTTCTTTTGCGATCCGGTCCTTGGTCTGCTGATGGAGTCATTGCGAAGAAGTTATGGGATCGAATTGGGGTAAATTTATATAGTAAAGGTTTTGAAATGAAAGCTCTTGAAAGATTCCTAGAGCATTTCAACATTAAAAAAATCCAATTCAAAATGTAGAGCGCAGAGGATGACTTGATTCACTGAAAAATTGCGATTATTCTTAGAAGTCAAAATTTCGATCCCCTCGAGCTTTGAACTTTTTTTCCTAGGGCCAATTGGCTTGGGGTCTAGCGTCATGATCAATGGAAGTTTAGCGTTCATGTGAAATTTATGATACTCCACCAAAATTCATTGCATTAATAAACATCAATTAGGGAATTATATATGGAGATTTAAATCATCGACCAATTGTCGAATTGGAATTATAAACTATATGACAGAACCAAAACCCTCCTCAGATTGTCTTGGTGCTCAACGTATACATCTTCTCCAACCCAACACGAGGGGTAAAGCAACCTCCCGTTACCAACACCAGCTAGATCTCTTCCTAATAGGAATTCGACAAGAATAAAAACGCCGCGGAGGTTCCCTCCACCTCAACAAAGCCGACATGTTGGCTGTTCAATTCTGATATATGTACGGAGCATTTCAACGTAGGTCCTTCGATTGTCGCAACTCTTTGTGCTGTTGTTTCTTTACTTCAATCGCCCACTCTTTCAAAGTTCATCCCGAATCTTTTCCATCCTTGTGCCAAATCTTCTTCACTGCATCTGTAACGGAGAATCCTCCGAATAGCCAATCGTCTGAATGTCTTCCGCACCTATAATACTCCAAGTCAGCACATGGCAATGTGGAAGTTATTGTTGCAGAAAGTTTGACTATCAAGATGCTAGCCGAGAATGTCAACAACACCAAAGCCTTTGGAAAAACTTACTCAGTATAGACATTAGCATGTTCATTACTCGAATGTCTTCTCTTAACTCCATCCTTCTTCTCCCCTCCCTTCCCTCTATTCACACTTCCGCTCCTCGCTTCCTCAAATCTTTTCCTTTCCGTCTGCCCGTTCCGCAAAGACTCCTCCTCCGTTCTTCTCCTCATCAACATCGATGGAGTAGGCGACTTTTCTCTTCCTATAAATGTAGGAGTCAATTCTGTCATCTCCATCTCCCTTCCATTTCCTCTCCCTGCAACTCTGATATCGGAAGAATCGCTGCTTTGGGTATCCAACGTGGTGATAGAGTTTAAACTCTCGTAATCGTCCAATGCCATTTCTCTTCCTGTTGATGCCGATGACGACGACAATGATGGTGGTGATCTTTTCATGTTTACCGATTGCTAATGAAGGGATATTGGTTTATATGCGGTTGAGTTGCTCACTCGGTTTGGAACAGTTGATAGGTCACTTCTCGAAAAAGGCGTTCACTCAGGTCCCACCACACCTCAAAACGAATAAGTATACAAAAAGTAATGTCAGAACTCTTTTTCTTGGAATCCTGCAGATATCGTTATCTACGTATTATCGTTCTTAAAATCTGACACGTTTCGTTTGTCAAAGTTCCTCGGAATGAATACAAGTAAAATTGTACACATTCCACCTTCATTCTTCGCCGCGAGCATCGAAGTATTTAATCATTTCCAACCGAGGAATCTTGTGCCATGATTACCTACTCGGCGAATATCCTATCTTCAAAAAGGCTCGAACGGCATCCCAAGTCGTAAGTCCAACCTATAAGGCTGACCCTATATGCATGGAGGACCAGGTATTTCCACAACCCTGTAAGATCTGATTGGACAACTTATCCGGGTTCCGGCTTAGGTGGAAGTCCCGTGCCCATTGTGTATCATGGTGGAGAAAGGGCTGGATGAGTGTGACGTACACTTGTTCCTCTATCATGGATCTCAGGAACCAACTTTGTTCGTTTAATAAGTTTGATTGAGGGAAGAGCAATTGATGGGGTTGGAAATACCATCACGGGATCAAATAGACAAGGGTGCTGTTGGCGTAGAAGTGTCTGAGATATTTAGTTGCTACAATGATATCTAGGCAGTAGCCTTTAGAGCGCGGTACTTTGGGTGTGAAATACCACATTTCTATTCCCAATTATGTAAAGGTATGAAAGAGGATGCCAATACACCACTAGAACACACTTTTCTTTTTTGGTATAGGTCGGAATGAACCTTTCAAGCGACAGAATCTAAGTATGAGTATGAGTGGGCTCAGCATACGAAGAGAGAGATGACAAAAGCAGTTTTTTAGAATCAAGTTTCGACAGTGAAGGGGCACTGTGCGAAAGAATTCCTGCTCGCTTGAGTCTGACAGTCATGAATAATAACTCTTTTAAACATCTCTGTGGCTAGGTATAGCATAATAACTTCGAGGGAGGAAGATGCCAAAGAACGAAGTAAATGAACATAGCTCATGCCGGGGTTGTCAAATGTGCAAACCTATACTATTAGTATTATTCCAGCCAATCTCCAAACCATTGGTTATTACGAAATTAGAAATATGAGATAGACAGCAAACGAGAAAGCTCAACAAGAAATGCGTAACTCTGAACATGATCGAGAGGTCGATTCTCATTTTACTGTCGATATCATAAATTTATCTCTTGCATGAATGTCCTGTATGCTCTTTCATCAAAACCCAGAAGAGATTGCTGGTCGTGAGTCCCAAACGATGAAAAAAAAAACATACCGCATTTTCCTCATGTCGAACTTGTACACTGGATGAGCTGCAACCAGAAATTTAGTTTCGGAACCTATTCAAAGACACGGCAACAAATTAGAATAGATTCTACATCGCTGCTTCATCTAAATATTAGCTGAAAGGGAGAAGTATAGTATATGCTCCACTGAAAGTCATAACGTGTTCATTATACATCCTATTTATTGGATATTAACTCCCAAATAGCACGACCCCGCTTGGCAGATTTTACTCCAACTTCATCTACAACAATTAATATCAAATTCCATTGCTTCCTCTTGAAGTGTATACCTAGTGTATACTACCATAGTCTCTCTTGATGAGAAATCAGAAGTCTTGGTGAGTATACACCCCGTGTATCCCAAAGTCTTCATGCAAAAGCTCCAGAGTTTTCCACAGACGTTGAGAATTGTTGGTGAGTCTTTCAGTCACCGAAGATAGAGATTCAATTTGCAGAGTAGTAAAGCTTTATCATGATCCTAAACTATGCCTTTAGTACACTTTCGCAATTGATTATCCTATTCCCCATCTATTCATTCATTATCCATGACTCTTTCGGCCTCAGTTCATCACCGCCAAGCTTCACACCTCACTGCACAGCACCGCACCGCTTCAAACGATATTCCTCCATCCATGCTATGATTTACCAATAAAACAACTCCCATTTGCTTCCAAAACTGCCAACCCAAATCAACAAATCCACATAATCCAATGCACCACAATCCATCACCCCAGATAGTAGTCTTCCGCGGTAACAAAGCATCCAAAACCTACGCTCAATCAAGAGCATTGCGATCAGCAAACGGGTCATTTTCATCCTCCTCATCTTCTTCGTCCTCCGATTCCTGTGCTCTCGGGTGAGTCGCTTGAACGGGAGTAGGTGGTGCAGGACGATGAGCCGGTTTAGTTGGACTATGTGGGCCTGTAAGTGGGCCTGTACCGAGTGTAAGATCATGTAATTGTTGTGTTGTTGAATCACTATCTCTACGTCCTGCCTTACGTTCTGCATTATTGATTTCCGCCACTGCATGGTATTAGTACGTGCTTAAATGCGACATTTCAATGTTTTAATTATTCTCGAAAATCGAAGGTAATCTTGAGGATAAATACACATACTTTTGAAGAGATGAGCTTGTTCGGCCATTTCGTCGTCAGAGTCACTGTCTGCGTCTATCGACCTATCCAATTGTTCAAACGTCATTAAGGCACTGACCAATCCATCGTTTGCGTGAAGAAGACCTCCAAGCCATTCCTCGGCCTCTACATGTTGGATCTGAGAAAACGGTTAGCAAATCCAAGTATGTATTAACCAGGTAGTACCACAGTGCGGACTGCAGTCTGACAATCAGAGAGATTCAACATTCCAATATAATTGGATCATTGGAGTCTACATCTAGTCTACTGGTATGGTCGACTGGACACACTGATCTTGACTTCAAACTTACATATCGAAGAATCTTCCTTCGTAGCAGTTTACAGGCATCAAAATACTGCGAGGCTGTTTTGTTTTCAGAAATTCGCTCTTTCTCTCGATCGATATGTCTCAATGCGTTCAAGAGATTGGTAGATGCAACAGTTGATTCCGCGATAGCAGCCTTCATTGCTTCTTTCTCGGCTTCTAGGTTGAAAGGCTTCTGTTTCTTCTTCTTGTCCTTCTTATCATCTTTCTTGACCTTCTTAGCAGATCCAGACATAATTGAGGATGCCCGCTCTCTGGTACTAGCAGATGCAGTTGTTAAAGAGCTTTGTCTTGAGTGAGAAGGTCCAACTTTAGAGGGACCTGGTTTAGAAGAAACAGGTGTAGATGGCTCTTCAATCTCGTCATCCTGGAAGGGATTTTCCTCTGTTTCACGGAGAACTTTCGATCTATCTTGCGTGACAACCTTCCTTGTATCAGGCAGTGCCTCGAAGTGCGTTAGTAAGTGATATTACAACATCCAGATGATACATACATGAAGGAGATTGACGACGTCTTCCATTCCAGAAACTTTCTTATATTTAATTGCCCAGCCTCGAAATAGCTCCCTGCACTTAGCTTTCACTGCAGGGTCCGAAGTGCTTGAAACACCACAGACACGTAGACGTTCGAGGAAAGTATCATCGGAGGCAAAAACATGTTCAAACTTTGGGCCGGCATTCTGAACAAGGCCATCCAAAATTTCCAAAGCTCGAAGCTGACGTTGTACGTTACCATATTTGAGCTTTTTTCGAAGAGCTCGAGTGGCTTCTCTAGGACCGGTAGCTTGAAGTTTGATAACATCTACCAAATCTGGAATACCGCCATAGGCATCGTCCTCGTTTTCTTCACTAGTGAGACGCTCGATAGCGACGGTAACTGCTGAATATGGTTTCTTCTGTTTACGACGAACATATATTAGTTCCTCTGTCTTTGTTGTTTTCTGTCTGCCAAAAAGAAGATTTCCCACATGACCTCTATGGAAATAGTCGGATTGAGGTTCTGAAGGAATGTATGACGCAGTGTAAGATCTTGCATGGCGACGTTGAAGTTTTCTCTTGGCAGACCTACTACCATGCTCGCCATGACAGGAGGACATCAGTCATAAATCTCACAAATCACGAATATGTCTCCATAATCTCGTGATGTGAGTTGTTAAGAATGGGGCAATTCCGGAGTAAATAAGAGGAGTGAAGAAAGTCAAGAATCAACAGTAGAGAATGGCTATGGAGTACTGACCGAAGAGAACATATTTGCTACCCGAATCTCAGGAGCCTTGACTACGAAAGGGATTGGCTTCGCTACAAGCTTCTTCCGGAATGTCTAACAAGAGACCAATAGTACGAGTGCAGGAAGGACGAGCAAATATATCGGGATAACCAAGAATAAGTGGATGCAGTCTGTATTGATTTGATGAGATTCAAAATGTACGTAGTGTGAGTTGTCGAGGAAGGAAGTTATCAGATTTTAATGTCAAATGCTCTCCTGCCACGTCTTAAAGTGGAAGGTGGGGGGAGGGGGGATTTGGGTTTGGGTTGGATGACCTGTGAATGTTTTTTTTTTGGTGATATCTGACTGATTTCCTCTCTCTGTACAGAAGTAGCTAGTGTATCTAGTACAGTATATCGATATTAGTGAAGTTAAGACATTCAATAATGAGTCGACGACAAGTAGTGAGCCAGAAGGTATGAATATTGAGTGAGTTGCTGATTTAGATTACTCAGACGAAGTCAAAGTATTTCTTGGTTTTGGTTTTGGTTATGTTTTAAGTGAAGCATGTGATGTACGGAGTGTGTAAAGGGATTGAAAGAAGACTAGTAAAGCGGGGCGGGACGGCTCTTTAGTGTCCGAGGTACCCACTTTAATGGCATATGAGCCTTAGGCTCCATACACCCTCCAGGACTTCTATCGGCAACTTTCAACTACACAGTATCAATTGTTAGTTCTTACCCGTGGTTCGCGAGACATTCATCTTACCGTCTGAACTCGATATATCAATACTCAGTTCAGTCGTTCGCCAATTTTCAATTGATGACGTAAAGCAGAGGGGAGATTGATAAAGGAGGGGCATGACGGGGGTGGTGCGACAAGTGATGGATCGAGGAAGAGTTGCTGATGAATTGAAATATGGTCAAGATGGCGCAGTATCAAGGCTTGAATCAAGAGGAGTTGAGAGGAGAAGGAAGAAGTCAAGAAAATCTGTCATATATGTTTGTCTGGATTTTGTCATATTTCAATCCTCTCGTACTAATACTTTATCAACAAACAGTGCGCCAGAAACAGCAATGCGCCCATATTTATCCTTCACTCCAATCAATCTTAACCGTTCAAAAAGTCTAAACCCAATATCACCTTTGACACGCACAATTGATCCATTGAGAATTTTGCGCAACACAGATGTCTACGACCTACCAGAGGACGTCCCGAGTCCTCCCACTCCAGGTGGTAAAAAGCGACGAACTCCACGCTCGAAGAATGGCCCCACGAAAATCTTACCCAATGCCAAATCGCATACAAATACTACTGTTGAAGATTGTGATACTGAACTATTTGAGGTAGCATCGCCGAAGAGAAGGAAAATTCTTACGAAAGGAGCGCAACCCGCATTCAAGGTCCCTTCTAGAGTAAAAACAATACCTGCTCATCAAGATCTTGAGAAACCACCCAACAAATTAGGCGACGGGCCTTCTGTTTCTCAATTGTTTACACCACCTGATACTCATAAGAGATCTAAGAAGAGAGCGCTTTCTGCCACAGTTACCAAGCGGAAGAAATCTTCAGAGTTATTTCAGAACTCAACAGTTACCAAACCATCATTGTCTTGCTTCACCTCAAAGTCTTCGAGAGAGCAATCACAGCCCATCAATCGGCTACAAGGTTTCACGACAACTGAGGAACAGATGAAACGTAACTCGAATGGAATCGCGAACACAACTTTACAGAAATTAGCAGCTTTTAGATATGTGCCTCGCGAGGAGAATCTATTGGCGAATCAATCGATCACTGCGAGCAAAGGAGATGACACTCATCTTACCCTGGATAAGCATCGTGATGGATATGTTTTTGAAGAGTCAAATCATACCTCATCAGAATATGGGCATATATCAAGTGGCTCATTTTTCGAGGAAGCTTTGTGGATCTCAAAACAATCTGTCGATAGCAACGAGCCTGACACTATTCGAATTAACCAACTTCAAACCCGTCCCTTTTCTGAAAATCTATTGGCCTCTGTCACGCAGCAGAAGGTGTTCCAAATTGGGCACTCGCTAAACCAAACCATTGGATCTTCCGCCTTTGGTGAAGGAATACCAGAGGATGCTCTTAAAAACCCCACCAATAATGATGTCGACAGGCAGCAATCGCAGCTAGTTCCGACAACAATTGACAACAGTGTGACCACTGAGCTTGGAGATATGACTTCCGAGTTGCCAGAATACAATAAACATCTTCCAGAAGTTAATGATCAGCTGCCCAACACAGGATTCGAGCAAGAACAACCACAGAATTCTCAACAGTCACTGGCACTTTTGCCAACAATTAGTGCCGAAACTTATCACAACGACAATCATTCTGAGTTACCAGTCATTGAAGAAGGCATGCTAACGATCATAAATCCTCCCCTAGATTGTTTTGACAGCGATAGCTTTGGCGATGACATTGATGATGAAGATTTGTTAGCATTGGATGCAGATCCTGCTATTCTCGAATGTCCCATGAGAGACGAAGTGATCCAAAGCATTCCAAAGCAACCATGTTCACCTTCCATTTCACATATTGTTTCTTCTTTACGCACGAGGACAACGCAATTACATGATCCCGTCACTCTTTCGCAAGAAGTCACTCGCGCTACATCTCCACCAATCGTTGCAGATGAGGTGGACGATTTTCCAATGGATACTGATTTGGAAGAAGAATTGTTTCGACTCGCAGGAACAAGTCAATTTCAAGGAGTTGTAGAATCATTTGAACCACCATCAAGTTTAACTCTTCCGCGTGACGGTGATGATACTGACAGGGAAGTATATGATGATAATCTTCAATTCTCTTCACCTACGCCCCGAGAACCATATTCTAACGGAATAGCGCTGGTCAAATCCACTGATAAATCTAGTCCATCGAAACCACCAGCGACACAAGAAGATGCAGATTGGAGGTTTATTACATCGACGGCTTTGAGGTCGGTCAAAGCTCCAGTCATTCAATCTTCTGAGGCTCTTATCCAACCATTGAAAAACAGACGTCTAGAGAAATTGTCTACACCGGTTCAATCGATTCAAACCAACATATCGAAAATGTGGCTGGATGATAGTGATGATTATCTACCCCTCACACCGTTTGCTCGGCCGAAATTTCCCCAAATAGTTCAAGATCGATGCCCAATCAATGGATTATCGTCCCAAACCATTCTTCGTGTTTGTTTCAGGATTGGTGAGATGCTTAAAGAAGGAGGTCGATGCAATGCGTTAGGTCAAGATGCAATTATCGAGCTCTTTGCCCGTGTTAATTTCTCATCTCGAGAACCTGGTACTACTAAACAGCACTTTCAATTTTCAGACTTATTTCATGATCGACCACCATTTGCTAAGGGTATTCTCGCAAACTTTAAGACGTCGGGACTGGCGGAGAGTGAAAGTAGAATTTTCATCGAATCAAGCGAATCGTTGATGGCAAGATGTCTGGGCAGAGTTAAGAAGGACGTAAAAAATGGTTCTTGGCTGTTGCATATCATCAATGTGAGAGTGACGGATTGGGAAGAGATAAGATGGACGAAGAGAATTGTTTGTGGAGAGCGTGAAGAGGAAGTCGATGTAAAGACTACTGCTACAATTGCTAACTTGTGAGAGGGGATGGCCTGATATGGATATTTGAGGATCTTGCTATCATTGCTATCATACTACTTACTGTGTATTGTTGCTGATCTAGAAGAGCGCAGACTAACATTTAGAAAGAACTAATCATTGCAGATATGGCATCTTTAACACTGAAATCTTTAGCTACGTCAATACAATTCTACTTTTTGAAACAAATTTACACACATCGTTTATATTCATACTAGAAGCTTGACGTTGAGACTTGAATGTTAGATCAAGTCGAAATGCTTCTGCCTAGAAAGTCCTATTCGTCACATGATTTGCATAGCCCTACGGGGCTATGAACTAACCAATCAGAATTCCTCAATTCGTCAAGTGGCAGAAATCTGGACCCCGCATATGCAAGTCTAAGTCTTATCGCAATCCGTCATCGTTCACGAGCAAATAACATTCCGTCCCATTATTGTGGCAGTGTCCCAAGCTTGCGAGCCGAGTTTGGATGACGCGGCGAAATTTCATGAGAGAGGATTCCTTTTATTATAGCTGCGGTTTTCCCTTGGGTTCTAGGCAGAAAGAATTGAGATCTTAAAATTTGGAATTTTTTTGTTCATTTTTGTAGTTTGTCGATTGAAATGCGCGGAAGGAAATACGTACGCTTTCTGGTTCCTGTCAAGTCTATTTGCAAACGGTTTGGTTTTGATCCACACTTTTCAGGTACAGGTACGCGGATAGAATTAGAGTTTGGGTACACGGAAGAGATTCTAGGTCGGGAGTCCCGGAACTGTCGAAGATGAATCGCTCGCGTTATGAAGCTGTGAGTTTTTTTTCTTTGGTTTGATTGGGACTAGAAGTGCAATGCGCAATGGAAGGGGATGAGGGTTGCGTAACTCGGAGGGATCTGGAGATTGGAGATTGAGGATTGGAAACTTTTACTTTTGTATTGTGCTTCGTGATGCTTGATTGGAGTTGCTATGTATGCATCGAGCGTCTAGTAGATAGGGGAGACTGTCGTTTATGTATTGGTGAATATTGCTATTCCTCGCCTTGCTTTTGTTATTCTCATGTCTAGCCACTTTTCTCCACCTTTTCGTTACCTCCGCAAGGCACTACACCTTACGTTCTACACTTCATACCCATTTATATCTCATCCTATTCTCTGCCTCACTCCCAAAGCAAAGCCCACCAATCAACTAACCACCCCTCATCTAGCTCCCCCGCACCTCATCTCCCTCCTCAAATCCTCCGATTCTCCTCGACCCAATCTTTCACAATAGCCCCTCTTACAACTACAACTCCGGCACTCCTACATCTGTTCCCTCATCCGCCCTTTCAAGCCATCGAACATCCATCACTAGTATCTCATCCCGTACCCCACCGCCTAGCTTTCACAGCAGTCAGGTTGCGCATCTGAATAGTCAAGGCTCTTCACAATTTACCTCTAGCAACACATATGGAAACGCGATAGGAGGAGCAAGCGGAGCAGGGACTACACCATTCCCTCCTTTCAACAATTCATATGCTACGAATTATTCGGACTCCGCACCACCATCTTTTCATTCCCGCTCTAGTACTCCTCGCCCAACGCCAAGTACGAGGACACTGGCTAGTAATGTCAGTGGGGCTAGTGGTGTAAGTGGAGGAAGTGGAGTGGAACTTTGGGGCGTAGCGACTACTACTTCTGGAGGTGATGAATCAGGGGAAGATAGAGAGGGGACGGGGGGATTATTGATGGTGAAGGGATTGGAGAGGAGAATGGAGAGGTTGGAGGAGAGTATTGGGAGGTTGCTTGTTAGTTCTTCTTTCTTCTAATTTCCTACCCTTCCGAAATATCTTTCTCTTGCTCCCCTTAATTTCATTTTTAGAGGAGATAATGATGCAGGATGGGAGGATTAAATTATCAAAAAATCAAGCTAACGATACAAAGCAGTTGGAAAATGAAGAACTCCGCAGATTAAGAGCCGCTGGTACAGGTATCAATACAGGAGGCGAAATCCAAGGAAACAGACAGAATTGCTGCGTTGTATTTACCGATGCATCGAGAGATATGGAGGAAGCATTGGTCATGAATGGTAAGTCTCTCTCTCCTGCTCCCCATCGCTAATAAAATAACTCAATATTTGAAGGCCACAATAACTGCTGCGTGCGTTTCACCTCCTCCACAAACTCATCAGATAGAAAGTTGCAGCGCAAGAAAGAATTGCTCATCGCGATTGCGTTTGTGACGTTGTTGGTGACGGTTTTTGTGCTGATGGCTAATGGGTATGCGAGGGAGGCGAGTGGGGAAAGAGAAAGGGGGGTAGGGGGTTATGAGGAGAAGAGGAATTAGATGGAGGTTGGCATGAGGGAGAGGATGTGATGATGTGATGGATATATCGAGAGATTTCATAGAATGTTTGAGATTTCGGGAGGATAGAGAAGAAGAGGGCGTGTAATGGTGAGATTAATAGACAGGATGGGTAACAATATGTATAAATAGGATGAAGGGACGATATACGACTTGATATTCTTGCTTTTGGATTTCTTCATAACTCGGCTGAGCAAATACAGTGAGTGGGTTTTGATTCTATATATGATGTGCCTACTATGGCACAATAATATTTCCCCTTCTTATACATGATAATTCAATACTACCTAAGTAGATATTGTGATTATTTTTATACTTTGATTTCTCTATGGGTATTATCAAATATTCATACATAAATGCATGTATACATGTATCTATTTCCGCCTTCTTCTTTTATCCTACTTTTCTTAATCATTCTTTTCTAGTCTACGAAAAGTTAGCTTTACCATTATCAAATCCGGTGAAAATGAAAATAAAAACTCACTATCAACAAGTCCTGGCCATTGCTCCTTCAAAAACTCGACAACAGCATCAGGACCCTTTTCGATTTGTAATCCGTGTGGTATGGCCATGGTTTTGATACCTGGCTTGGTGGATTTGGCGATTTCTTGGATTTCGTTTGCTTCTTCGGTGGTCCACATTGAGGCTACGAACTTGGGGAGTGTCAGTGGGGGTTGGAGAAGAAACTCGGGAGAAGGGGGAGGCTAAAGAGATGGAGGGTGTAGGTGGTAAGGGAGTTTGGGAGTTATGGAGAAAATGAGAGAATCGATACGTACTAGAACATCTGGTTGTTGCTCTTCGACCATGGCTTTTACATCTTCCATTCCTGTGAGGTAGTTAGTATCATTGCTCAGTCCCCCGGTTTAGCTGTTAATTTCTTCACGTGCTTCATTTCTCTTCTGAGCCGTCGATTGCTTGCAGATTCAAACATGAAGTAAATGAAGATTTCATTCATGAAACTTGTGGATCTGGGGCCAGTGAGACTTCATCTAGGTAGCGAATGACTGTTGGGCATTTGACAGAGGGAACTACCCGCTCAAAGTTGTGCCAGAGTTACAAAATCCCATACCATCTTTCCTTTGCGATTCCATATGCCCTGTTGTCCCTCTCTAGTATCACAACACCACCCCCAAGTCCGAAGCTAATAGCAAAAACCAGAATAGGGAAAGAAGAGACTATAGATCAAACTCACGTTCAGCGTTTTTGACATATTCAATGGTATAGTTCTCCTTAACATCCTCGACCACTCTTCCAATCAAGATCTTTGCCCGAGCTGGGACTTTGTTAACTGTAACGAGCTTGTAGGGTCCTTTTGGTGCCATTTTGAATGTGTGTTGTATGAAAGAAGAGGGTATAAAATGCGTGTGTATGTTTGTATGTTGAAAGTCAATGTGATGAATTCAAAAGATGTTCAAAGGTAGAGAGATATACGAAGCAAGAAAAGCAATTCATACGTACCATAACCCGAAGTCGGAAAGGAAGTCGGGAGATGGACAATGGTGGACGGTGGGGAGTGTGGGGATTGATTATGGAAGTGGCATGATGAGAATGAGGGGCACGGGAGTGCTTATCGGGATTTTTTCGGGAGGGGCAATTTATGAGGAGGATTTGTGCAAGGTGTGTGGGGACAGGGATTTATTTTTGGATGATGACAATGGCGGGGATGCAGTATCAATTGATGGTACGAACATGTACGAACATATACGAACGAGTACGGAGTACAAGAGTTTCGACATCTCACTGACACCTTGAGAGAGCCTCGAGATTTATTTGAGGATGTGAGAGGGGATATCAACATACAATACCCCAGTTGAGCCATCTGGGAGGATCCGTGAATTTACCGATTGATGAAGGGGTAAAGTTGAGAAGAAGACAAACAAACTCTCCCGCAAAACCAATTTTCTCAATCTCGCATCATCTTCCTCGTACCTTTGCATTGCATATTCTGTGTGCATGTAGCTTTTTTTTTTTGAAATATCTTCGAAAATACATCTGGTACTCCATCATCAAACCCCCTTCATTGGCCTCTTCCTCATAATTCTAGCCAAGAGCCTGGTTCGATAATGCGTAATCTATGGTCACCGCGGCGTAGTTATTGATGCATAACAGAATGGTTTCGTCAACTCAAATATATTTACAGCCTTCATTTGATACTCGAAAATTTACTGATCATATATCTATCAATGCTGAGGCTTCCACAAGCTTCGCAAGTCAACGAAGGTAGCCACCCATCGGATGTACAACCGGGGTAGTACAATCCACAGTTCACCGATTCTAATCATTCTAAAGCCTTTCCATCATCCTGATAGAAACTCTAGCTCGCAAACCGGCGAACAGATATATACGACAAACTTTGTTATACGGCGGAAGTTTCACAAATGCACCACTCACCGATTCTAATCATTCTAAAGCTTCTTTACGAATGTCCATTATACGAAACATTCCATCTTGCAAGTCCCCGAATCTCCGAAGCCACGCTTCACTTCCTAGTCAACATGCGAAAGTTACATTGCTCAAGTACACTTTTCATGTATCCTCGTACCCGTCCTACCCATCACCATATCATTCAATCCATCAATCAACATATCCGTATATGACAGGAGAGCCAAGGTGAGTTCATTTAATCTGCATAGGGCAAGACATTCCTCATTTCATAGGATTGTAACCATATTCCCTCCGACCCGTACCTCCTTTCCTTAAATACCTATCGGGCATCATCCTAAATCAAATTCCCGCATCCCCGCAAATTATAAAGGCAGTAAAATGGTGCAGTAGCATCCTCGCCGACAAGTAAGGATTCTTGGGTGTTATAGTCGCTTACTCGGGGACCTCAGACCCGGCTATCTATTTCCCGAGAGATCTCGGGAATCTCACTAATATGCAACGATCTCTCAAGAAAAAAGTAACTCTCGTCTCTACTTTCCTTTGTACTACTTTGAAACTCTCTATATTTTCGAGAAGTTCCATAATTAACTTCACTCTAGCAGTGGAAAGTTTCTAGAAGGATTTTTTGAGTTCTTTAGAAAAATAGTCCACCACACGGGCTTCTTTGTTAGGGGGAAATATAATCGGCGACCTCAATTTTTTTTTTAGATGGGGCTGGCTTCCTCCCTTTCATGGATGAATACTTTCAAAATACGGGTGAAAGAACAAATCTGACTACGGAGAATTCATCAAACAAAGGAAGGTAGGAAGATAGCTATGTACCTCGTAAGTACTAACAAGTAATGAATTCGCGATCATGTACCGTTATAGGTCTGTCATTTTCATGCACAAGGTGTACATTATTTCATAGTATTTTTTTCACATTTGTGGAAAGCTTGCGAAGTTTCTTGCAAGTGGAGGTCATCCTCAGTTTGATAAATTTGAGTGAATGAAGAATGGATCAAAGAATTGTTCAATCGTATCTTATTACCTAGGTAGTTAAAGGAGTGAATCATTTTCTTTATATGATTATAACAAATCCTTCTAGCATGGTCGAGGTATCAAAGTTGCTACTTCCCACATATCAAAATACTAGTACCAAAACTCAAGACGCTATGAAAGACACGATTCAATTTCTTGAATGAACTTAAATTTTAGTTCATGAAGATCGTCTCTGTTCCATATACATATACTTCAACTTCCAACCATATTCTCTCTCAAGATGGTTCACATTGAGATCCGGAATAACGAATTCGCCATGATTTCAATTTCTTCAACAACAGGAGCAAAATCAATATTAAGTGGTGTACTTTTTGGTGCAGCACTTACTGCAGCAGGAGTTTATTCTCCTACTGTGATTGTATCGCAGATGAAGTTGGAATCTTTTCATATGCTGAAAGTATTTCTATCAGCAAGTGCTACTAGCGCGTAAGTTCCCTCTCTTTTCCATGTATTCCAAAGCTCTTTTGATAGAATAGCTTCACTAACACAACATAGAGCGATATTCCTCATCGCTCATCGTCTCTCACCAACTATCGCTCCTCCTCGGCAACCCTCTTCCCTATCCCTGTTTCCCTACGATGGAAATCTCATCGGAGGTCTTCTCCTCGGTACCGGTATGGCACTTACAGGTGCCTGTCCCGGGACCGTTCTCCCTCAAATCGTAACCGGTTATTCATCCGGACGTTACGCTTTCCTCGGAGGAATCCTTGGCGGAATTATATATTCTTTTATCCGTCCCTTCATCCGTTCTCCCGGCACTCGTCCAATCGTTCCCGATTCCAAGCCAACACTATATCAAAAACTCGACCCCAAAGCCGATGAGCTAAAAGCAGTTTATATTTATCAAAATTTCTGTTGGGGAATCATTCTTCTTGCTTCGTGGCTTTCAAATTCTCAGGAACAAAGTTTGTTGAGTGCGACGTGGGGAGGTATTGGTATCGGGTGTGCGCAGGGAGCAAGTCTTTGGTTGACGGGGAACACATTGGGGACCAGTGCTGCGTATGAACAGATTGGAGATTTATTCTGGTGGGGGTTGGAGAGGTTGAGGGGTGGTGATGTTGTTTCTGAAAAGGTTTATGAGAATGGAAATGGAAATGGGAACGGTGTATCGAAACACCACGCAATCACTCAACAAAGACCACGCCCCTCCATCCGCTCAAACCTCTTTACCCTCGGTATCCTCCTCGGCTCCTACATCCTTTCTCATAATTTTACATTACCATCTTCTCCTACCTCCCCTCTCCCTAAAATATCCCTCGACACACCCACCATCCCAGAAATATCAATAATACATGCACTTCTAGGAGGCATAGCCATGGTCCTCGGTGCACGCATAGCAGGTGGTTGTACGAGTGGACATGGTATTAGTGGAATGAGTTTATTGAGCGTTAGTAGTATTATTAGTGTGGCAGCTATGTTTGGCGGTGGTATACTATGGGGCACTGTTGTTGGTTGATGGCGTTTGAAAGGGAAAGAAGTCAAAGAAAGATTTAGAGAGCGGAGAGAAGGAATATTACAATGGTTTTGGGAGATAGACTGGGATCTGGTGATATCTTACTGGTCGTGGAGATCCAAATGAGCTAGACTTGAACTGGGAAAAGAATTTACAGCGATTCGAATAATGGATTTATGGGCGAAGAGAGGAAAGGGGTGGGACGGAATGGTGAATGGTGGAGTGGTTATACCCAGTTTGATTACTTGCTCACTTATCTTAATTCTTCTTTACATATTCGCATAGTCGCTCATGTTGCTCATTTACTTTTAATTTTGTTTTAGCGATGAGATTGATATTTCCAATGATTCTGACATTTGTGACTTGGATGGAGCCGCGGAATTTAAATTCTGGTTCTTTGAGAGAGAAGAATGAGGTTAAAAGTACGAATTTATTAGCTAAGTTAATATTTTGATATAAAAGGGTCCTGAAATTGAAGACTAGAGACAAGCTAGAGTACGGCTAGTGAACTGCTAATCCATCACCGGTCGGCCATTGCTAAGTGGCAAGATCACTTCACGTTCTTCATTGCGGTGAAACCATAACATGAGTCACGGAACACGCGGAGACTATCATATTAGCAAGGCCATATGCAAGGATATCTGCCATTTAAATTGACTGTTCTTCAGCAGACTCCATCTGAAAGCAGATAAAACCATCAACCCCAAACCGAACACCCAAAAAGCAGACCAAACCCCATACTCCATCCCAAAGCCAAACATTTGTAACAAATCAAATCCTGAACACCAACTCAAAACCCCCATTCAAAATTCTCAGATCATTTTTTCTTCTTCATATTTTCCATATCCTAAACTCCGACAACCAAGAACAAAACCGCAAGACAGGATCGAGTATGAAAATGAATTAAGGGGAGAGAAAGGAAGAAACAAACCAAAAAACAGCCCAAAATCTCATCAAACTCCCGCAAAACTCCCAAACTCCCAATCAAAAACTCAGCGGCTCAATAATTCTTTCGCCGCTCTCGTTGTTCCATTTCTTAAAGATAAAACATTACGTTGTTGACATTAGGATGCCATGGATTACCAGCGGTACTGTTCCAGATTGTGGCGTTCTGTCGATACTGAGTGACCGTCGCATTAGTTAGAGTAGTTCCCATTTCTCTGTGCAAAGCAGGATACATGTAACAGCGGAGGCGTGTGCACAAGATATCTGCATATTTCGCTGGTGTACAGACCGAGAGACCCTTTGTAGCGCGAGATCCCGTAAAGCAGATATTGTTCGTCTATGAGGAAATTGTTAGTATCTAAATTGTAGCTGCAGGAGGATATGAAAGTGTTGCGGTGCATAAACGCAAAGTGATTACTTACAACACGCTCCAATTTGTCAAGCCCATATGCAGACTCATCGACAATTACCACGTAATGACCCGTTCTCGCAGTTCCTAATGCGCTATCGTGACTCTGTAGATAGAAGTTTGTACGATTAGGATCATTGACGTTTCGGTCGACTACTGTGCCGGCGATGAGATTTCTGCCATTAGCTGGTGCATTCAACGGAATTTCAGGGAAGAATCTCGCATGATGACGCTTTCCTACTATCAAAAGCGTGATCAATGGCTGGTTCCCATCATATTTGGTGGCCATTCTCATACACGCTACACGAACTTGAGGGAGTTCTTCTCTGAGCACCATTCTGTATTGAGTTTCGCCAACTCCATCACGGTAGAACAATATATGTTTTGGGAGGCGGCGATTGCGTTGATAGTACGCCTCTAAGCGCTCTTCGACCATACCCTCAAGATCCTCGATGAACTAGTCACTTTTGTCAGTGAAAATCTTTGGTTTTAGAAGTTTTATGCATACCTCAGTATTGTGCGTCTGTAGACGTGCTGAAGCCAAATAGTGAATATGGTGTTGATCCCGAGTAGCAACAACGCCAGCTTGAGATGGACAGCCATCATCTTGACCTTTTCCAACATGTGTAACATCAGCGCCCATTATCATGGTTCCATTTTCGACTCCGAGATCCTGTACGTGATGACTTCTCCCTCCCAGTTTGAAATTGATTTTAAGACTAAAAATATGGTTAGCCTTAGTTAACAGATAATTCCGCTTACTAGCATATGAACTCACGCGATATTTGCCATGAGATTGAAATCAATCTTTATGTCTCCACCTTGCTTCTTCGCTCCCTTTCTGATAGCATCCTCACTGATGCACACTGTGGGTATGCCTCGGACACAGTCACCCCACCATTTGACATCCGAGTACAGACGAGGATTCGACTTCTTTGAATTAGGCAACAAAACAATAATCAGTGGGATACCGGTGAGATTGAATTGTTGTTCCCACCTAGTGACTACTGCATTCAATATAGTCGTCACACCTGCGCGACGCGATTGAGAAATCATTGCATTTAGACCTGCACCTATAATGGCAGGCGCCATACTGTAGGTTTGCGCGCTGAAACCATAGTTTCTCAACTGACCCATCAAAGTTTCTATGAATGTCACTGCATTGCGATGCTGCGTGAGGTTGATCACAAATAACTTAGGATAAACATTGCTAACCACGTCAAATCCTTTCAACGTATCTTGAGGCCTTTTGATTGCAACTTTAGTTAGGGCCCAAGTCGCCAGGTTTGGATACACGCCTCGCACACGATCTTGGTTATTAGGGTTGGGGTTTCGAAACCTCAATTCAGGTGGAGCTAGTTGGCGAACTCTGCTGAGAAGCAAAAGATCGGGCGAAACTCTAATGCCAAACGGCTGTTATGATTAGTTTAAGTCCTCTCTCGAATCTGAATGAACTTACCACGTAACATTCTGGTGGTGGCACCAAGGCTAAATGAGGTTTGGAATCGACCATAAGAGCCCTTTGGTTTTCATAAGGGGTCTTCGTTGCCTGCGTCAGCATTTGTTGTGTGATTTCTACCCCGGCCTTTTTTCCAGCGGGTTGCCACAAGCAAATTCTGAGCATATCTGCTGGGTACCATATTTTCATACCCCCGTTAATGCTACTACCTACATTGACACACCAAGCATTTTGAGAACAGTCTTGCTGGTGTTTAGGATATGCTAAGTATCACGAGAATTAGCTACGTCTGGACAATGAGATATGGGGAGCACTGTAATATCGGATTGCTAAGCTTACTATTGAACATGTGCTGCCAGACGGATATGGGATTTCCGCCTGTTGGAATAAACATCTTTTGAGAGACAGTTAGAGGATCTATGCCACAAATAGCCCGCTTCTTTCGCTTAGGATCTCCTATGAAAGTAACTTTGACTCCTCTCAACATCCTCAACACTTCTGTAGGCTGAATTCCATTTCCAAATTTGGCATAAATCCAATGCTCAAGGATAATATCTGGAAAGAATGCCGAGGTTGTGCAGTTCACATTCAGAAGCAAGCACCCGTTCCCAGGGCGCATGGAACTGAAAAATCCCGAGCGAAGGTTCCAGAGTGGGTACTTCTGGCTTTCTGAATTGAAACCTGGGGGTACAACATTGAAGTTGTGATTTTCCATGCTATCTGGATAAAACTTGTTCCCTAACCGACCCCCCTGAAAGGTACTCGAATGTATCCTTTGCCAAGATATGATGTTTAAAGATTTGAGATCCTCACCAGGATTGTAATTGGGATTTCTTGCTGGATCACGGTTCACGAAACGTTGCAATTCCGCAAGGTTTACATTGCTTTCGTAGACAATTCCATTAGTCATGGTCAAGTCAGGTGAAGTCGAATCCGCAGAAGTTATCGAATGACTTTTGTCGATACTATTATTTAGATCATTCCCACATTCGTGGTAAAGCCTTCCGACCGAAATTATGTAACAGAAATAATCAGTTGCATAAACGGTCGCAGTTGGAGGATTTGCTGTCAGCATCTGATCTATCGTTGTTCTCTTCACGTCAGGCTTAAATACATCTCTGTGGGTGATTTTTCCCGCAGAGTCATAGCTGGGTGTCTTTCCAAATTCGATGCGGTATCTCCGAAGATCGACGGGGTTGGGATTAATACTAACTTGAAAGAAGTTCGTTTTGGCGTTAGGGTTGTTGCTACTAATAGGTGGAATCTGATTCTCTGGAGGGTATCCAGGGAGCTCAAGACTTGCACTTGTCCACTTTTCGCGATTTTTCTTCCTGATGGTCGCTTTGTCCTTCTCTCCTGTCTCTGCATCATCACTGCCACCTGCAGGAGCTTGAACTTGAGTTTGACTTTGGGTTTGACCCGAGGCCTGACTTGTCTGATGTGGTTGACTCGATTGGCTTGGCAGGCTCGCATTGGCTTCAGACAAACTTATGGTTGAGCCAGATGCTACAGGGCCAGGTGCTGGGAGACTAGGTACCAGAGGATGAGACTCTATAGAACGGGATACCGAAGTACCAGTCTCAGATGGGCCGGATTCCGAAGGAGTAGATGTCAATGTCGCAGACGGCAGGGACTGCGCGTAGCGTCCTTTCTTGAATTTTTTATTGTAATTATCTCTACACTCTTCTCTCCGAGACTCAGGCCTTGCTTTTTGAATCTGACTTGCAGTTTTGTATTTAGGGAGAGTAAATTGCTCAAGATGAGAGTCAAAACTCTGATCTAGCATACATTCACGCTTGTCATGCCATCCATGACCACAGTTACTACAAGCGTTTGCCTTAGCTTCCTTGCATTGATGAGGCTCATGATCTTTTGTACAGAAGTCGCATTGTCGCTCCGCGTCAAATCTCCGGTAAGGGTTAATGTCGGGATCCAACAAACAATGTTGAGTTCTTTGATGTTCTGATTTTCCGCCTTTGCACAGGGCACAATTTCGTACGTACAGCTGCATCTTGATATCTGTGTGCGCGAAACTTTCAGCAAGGCAGAATTTGAGAATGAATGGATCAGAATGGATAAGTGAAAGGGGCAGATCTGGAATGCGCCTGAACACTAATGATTACCTACTTCCACAGGAAATGTTCACGTTCTTATACGGATTTCTTGTGAGAGCCTCTCCGCGTCACAACCCTTCTCTCTGGCAAGATCCATATCACATGCTTTGCACAGGTTTGATGGCCACCATGTCGATTGGTCTGGTGAATGGCATTCAAACTACACGAAACTGTCACGCCTATGAGAAGCAGTTCACGATACTTCGTGAGATGCGCATTTGTCCCTTCAGATCCCATTGGAGTGACTTCATTATCACATGAGGCTCGGCAAACGTTACGTAACAATCTTAAGTACACATTCGTAAGTGCAGATGTTAACTGTGAACATTTGGCAAGACATGGGCTGCTATCA